AGAAATAGCCAAATTTTAGTATTTTTCTATTCTTATGTAACAATCTACCTTGATTTTGCTCATCCAAAACCATAATTCATCTTATTTGATTCAGTCCTGTGGAATCACTCATTTTCTCAACATTCAGTTCAACTTTTTACCCACTTGCCAATGCCTCTTTCCTACACTCCTTCTTGCTCTCATCCTGTCTTCCTAAAAACTTACTCCTAAGTATTTTATTAACAAGGAGGCATAAGTGATGAAAAACAACTTAATGTTTTCCTTTCTGAAATTATTTGCATTTTAACCCTTATATTAACAAGATGGGACTCTAATGGAGGAATTGTAGGCATCCATCAGAAGGTTGGAGCAGACACCTATAAGCAGATCCTATAAAGTGGTGCTTATTTTTCTTATTTTAAGGATTTGAGGGTATTACCCGCTCTGTTTACTCATCAGTTAAGCTGCAAATATGCTTGATATACCTCAAGTCCTTCATATGAGTCAAGGTGGCAAAACAGAGAGTTAGCAATTTCAGGCAGAGATTACCTGTTGTTGTAATGCTGGGATGCCTAGCATAGTGCCAAGCATACAACGAATGCACAACTATCTGTTGTTTAATTGGTCAACCAAGAGTCATTCAGGCTGTGGTCATTGATCCCTAGATTGCTGACTTTATTTGCTTTTACTGCCAATCCCTGCAATTCTGTTACAGATTATATGCAGGAGATGGTTGTGAGCTCTGTTCATGGTTCCTTCATATATAGAAGAACGAATGGTCTTACAAAATCAGGAACATGCTTAATCAGGCATGATCAATTATTAACTCTATTTCCAGCCCCTCTCCGCACCCTGGAGGATGTGGGTGGTGGTGGCAGGGGCTGAAATCATGGCTTGGCCTTTCTGGTGACCAGCCCCCATCCAAGAGCAATCCAGGTGCTCACCCAGAGTCACCTCATTAGAACAAAAGACACCCCATTACCCAGAAAATTCCAAGAGATTTAGGAGTTCAGTGTCAGGAACCAGGAGTACCTATCTATCAGCTATCTATCTATCTATCTATCTATCTATCTATCATCTATCTATATATCTATAGATAGATATACATTTATATCTATATTTATTTATTTATTTATATTATCTTGCAGTGCCCCATTTTTTATTTTTTCTTTATCATTCCCTTGGATCTGCCCGCCAGGGAAACCCATGGGGAGGAGTATGATGGGCAGAGCAGGATTCAGCTATTTCTGGGTTCCTTGGCTCAACTATCTTCAAACCATCTGTCATCAGCAGTTCAGGCTGCTATAATAAATTACCACAGATTGCGTGGCTTATACAATAATTTATTTTGCATGGTTCTGGAGGCTGGGAAGTCCAAGATCAAGGTGCTGGAAGATCTGATGAGAGCCCTCTTCCTGGTCTGCAGATGGGCATCTTGTATCCTCACAAAGAGGGCTAGCTGTTTCATTTCTCTTCTTAGGACACCACTCCTATCATGAGGGTAATTACCCTCATGGCCTAACTACCTCCCAAAAGCCCCACCTCCCAATTCCATAACACTGTCAAGATATGAATTTCAGGTCACAAACAGTCCATAGCATCAAAATACCACCTCCTAGAAATCAACAAAGCCTCCCAATCTTTCACAACCTGAAATGACTACAGCGTTCCTACAGGATGAAACCTGTAGGCCATCTTAACACCAGGACATAGCTAGAAAACATGTTTTTGAAACACATCTACATTTAACTTGTGTAGTGTGTGTACGTGTGTGCATGCGTGTGTGATTTTTCTTGTATAAGCCAAGTTTGGAGAACCAACTGTTGCAACTCTGGCATGAATGTTGGTGTCTGGACACTGCCCACAGTGCCCACAGGGTCTGGTGGGGCAAGACGCTTCCCTTGCAGAAGGAACTGCTTTGGGTCAAAGCAGAACCCTCTGCTGATCCCTAGTGGCTTCCTTTCTGAGCTGAGTTCATGAAGAGATTCCTGACTCCCCACTACGTGTGGGACTCAGCCAAGGGTCTCATTTCAGTTTCTAGACCTGGAACTACGGTCTTAACTAGCCTGGGGTGAGGCTCTTGAAGCATTTTGATGTTTTAAGACTAATGAGTCTGCATCCTTGTTTAACTCTTTAATGGCCTCAATGTGGCCTCCAAGCAAATCACTTGACCTTTCCTGAGCTTCACTTTCCTCATCTGTAAAATGGGGATAAAAACTGACCTGCTTTTGTTACAGGACTGTGAGGATTAAAGAAGATATTGTATGTTGCATGCTATTCAAATGTAAGGTGATATTTCAGGTTTCAACTACAAATGTGTTTTAAGGACATTAAAGATTTCTCCTCCTTTAAGGAGAATTTACAAATCCTGATTTGTGAAACTGAACAATTGGAAAAAGAATTTCCCAAGGGGTTCCTCTCAAACAACTTTAGGATGGGACCCTGACATCACATATATCTTAGGAAAATGTCCATCATGTATATCTATGCATTTGCAAAATCTTTATTGCACTAAACTCAACCCTTGTGTCTCTGTTCATTTAAGCCTGACGACCTGTAACAATTAGGGTGAGCTAAATTGCTCTAACAAATAGTCCTGAATACGCAGTGACTCAACTACAGTGAAAGTTTATTTCCTGTTCCCAGACCAGGCCAAAGTTCAGGTTGGTGGGCAGTTCTCCATACAGTGATTCAGGCATCTAGCTCCTTCCCCTTGTGACTCTGCTACCACATATGGCCTGGTTGTCGTCTGCATCCAAATAACAGAAGAGCCAGGAGAACCTCACACAGGACTTTACCACTTCTGCTCACATTCTCCAGGAGCGACTCTAACACAAGGGCACATCTGAGCGCAAGGGAGGCTGGGAAATGTAGTCCAGTGGTGTGCTCAAAGGGAGGAAGGGGTTTTAGTGGACAGTTGGTGGTCCCTACCAGTGTGTAAATGAGGAAAGAGTCTCAATAGGATTAACTGATTTGCCAAAATTAGTTACGTCATCCAAGTGACAAAGCCAGGACTGCGGCCCAGAGCTTCTGTCATGTCTGGTGCCTTAAAAAGCACAGCCCCACCTCAATCTGAGCCCCACCTCACCTGAACTCTTCTCACTGGTCTCTTAGCTTTCAAGTTTCTCCTTGTACTCTGTTCTCCACCCTGCAGATAGGGGAATATTATCAACATCTACGCCAGATCATTGTTGACGGGTGACGGAAATTCAAAAACAGTTAAGAAAATCACCCTGGTCCCTCTGCCCTAACACACCTGTCCCTTCCCCGACGCAATCTTCTAGCCCTCGCGGGTTCAGAGGGAAACTGGAGCCTGCACTTGAGCCAGGAGTGCCTCCACGTCGTGGTCCCCAGAGCAAGAAACGACAAAGGCTACTTTCCAGATCACACTTTTATTCTTACAGAAGCAGGGGCCACACAGCCATAGGGACATGAAGTGTTCAGACAGTAGGCACAGCGCCTGCAGCTGCAAGAGCCTGCTGGGGGGTGGGGGGGGACCCATGCCTTTTTCCGTGGTCCCCATGATTAAGGAAAAAACTAAAAATCACACAGCATTCACTGCCACCCCCATCCCCACCCCTTCCCTTTCAGTAACAGCTAATTAGATAATGCATCCTTCCAGCCAAAGAAACTGGCTAGAATCCGAATTTTACAGAAAACCTTCATGCAGAGAAACTCGGCGTTCCGGAAAGGAGAGGCCTCTTCTTATACTTTCCACACACGCTGCCCCGCTCCCGCCATGTGCCAAGTTTAATTCCACCTGAAACCACCATCTGGATGGGTAGTGACAAGACTGGCTACAAGAAAGAGCTGGTCACTCAGCTCAACATGCTTGGAAGACTGCCCCTTTCTAGGCAAGATATCACTGAAGCAAAACAGTAACCTGAGGCTGGTGTGATCCCCAGACCCTCCCTCCTGAGCCCTGGCTTCCGAGTGAGGTGTGTGAAGGGCAGGATTTTGCTTTGTAGGAATGAGGATAACAGAAGCTGCTGGCATCTCTGGCCACACTCCCAGGGGCCCAGGGGCGGAGGCCCCACTGGTGAAAGGATGGGACCTTATCTGTTGGGCTCATCTAGCTCGGGCTCACCATTACTCTACAGAAGTAGGATCATCAGTTTAGCGCCGAGCGGGAAGCCCACGGGCCCACTAGGAGAGCTAATGCCAGTATTCACGTGCTTTGCATACAAGCCAGAAAATGAGGTTTCTTATTTTTTTCTTACGCCCCCTCCAGAGGCCAAATGGGGAAGAGTGGTTCCTCTGCCATCTGAGTGTCCTGAATGCGCCCAGAACTCCCGGGACCACGCCAAGACACTACAGCGTGCCAAGCCAAGGGCAGGATGAGTGAGCCTCGGCAGCCAAAGCATGGCTCTGGGAGGATTCTGGCAACCTGTGGTGACAAGATTGACACTTCCTTGCAGGCCATGGATGCGCCTTTCTGAAAAGATGGGAGCTGGCCTTGGGCTGAAGGAAGGACCTTAAATGGCAGACAACCCCCAAGCGTCCACTTAGATCATTTGTTTTTCCTCTGACTATCCACACAAGAGGCTTTTCATGGGGTTTGCCGTTGTGGTGTTTAAGACAGCTCTGCACTTCTAAAGCAGAAGGGCCTCAGGTGGTCTTGTGTGTGCTGATGTGACAGATGAGGAAACTACAGCTCAGAGGGACAAATGACTTGCCCACAGGTGCAGAGCTCGTGAGGAATACAGCAAGGACTGAAACCCAGGCCTCCTGGCTCCTGGTGCAGTGGTTTCTCTCTCTCTCCTCTCTCTCTCTCCCAAAATGTCACTGCCTGGCACAGTTCACTTAATTCCAGCTTCCCTTACACAATTCCCTCTCAGATTCTGGGTTTTCAGCTGAGGCTGGGAAGTTCTTAAGACAGACCTGCATAAACAACCAAGCTCTACTAGGTGGGCAGGGACCCAGGAAGGTTTCCTTCCCTCTGGAACGGAAATGGAGCTAACTTTTCTCTGAGCTTAGGATTTGTAAGGCACTAAAATTAACTACAGTTGGGGGCCGGGGGAGAAAGAAAAAAAGGGGGAGATGAGTGGTTGGAGAAATCAAGTTGATACTGTTTTCTTTCAGCCCCGCAGTGAGGAACCCCACGAAACCGAGTGACGGCGGGCTCCATTTTCCTGCTTGGCGTGGTCCCACCCCCCAACTCCCACCCCTACTGCAGAGCAGAGGACACAGCCCCACCATGGCAAAGCGGGTTCTGGGAACAAGAGCCATGGAAGGTGGAGAGGCAAGAATGAGCCCAGGTCCTCTGGATTCAATTCAGAGCAGAGATCACTCACCCAGCCTGGGCAGGTGTCCCAGCCCTGGGCCCGGCCAGGATTCAACCCTGAAGTGTCTTCTCCATGGACACAGTCCCCTCTGAGTGGACTTGGGCAACGGCTGCAGTGGGCCTGCAAGCCTGAGCGTGAAGGAGGAAGGGGCAAGGCGCCACTGAGCACGGCAGGGAGAACTTTGGAATCAGACCTGGCTTTGGCACAGCACATCTTGGGCCCGCCCGCCCGCCCTCCCCATCTCCCAAGACCCCAGGGATGGAGAGGAACCTTCCTTCCTTCCCTCCGCGAGGAGGTCTTGCAGCTGACAAGTGATGGCAGCGAAACTCGAGGGTACCCCCTTCAGCCAAACCCGAGCCCAGGTGACCTAACATGGAGCCTTCCCGGACTCAACCACTGAATCCAAAGCACTTTAGTCTGACATGACGCTGAGTGGGAAGCCGTGCTAACAGCAGCTGCCACTTCTCCGGCACCTCTGGTGCGACAGGCGCTTGACTTAGATGACAGCAGCAGGAAGACAGCATTACCCCCTTTCAACAGATGAGGAACAGGGCTCAGAGTGGCTGAGTGACTCACTCAGAGTCACACAGCTAATGAGTGGCAGAACTGGGAACTAGACTCGGGTTTGTCTGACTCCAAATCTCATGTCCTGTCCACTCTACTTGGCTGCCCCTTGAAGCTGGGAGCAAGCTGTCGGGGCCATCTGGGTGGGGTTTCTGGAGGGGTTTCTTTCTGAAAATGTGGATCTGGCAGAGCAGCCAAGCTTGAGTGAAGGGAAGATAGATGCCTTCTGGCCCTGGGGACAGGGTCCGCCCTCGCGTCCGCCTCCTTCCGGATGGGCTCCGGCTCAGTGCCTGGCAGCCTTGCAGATCTTGTCATAGACCTCCGGGAAGGCGTCCTGGCAGCCGAGCTGTTTCCGCAGGCTATGGTACAGGGAGCCATCAAACATCTCCCAGAACTCCTCCCGGTCCATGTAGCAGTCGGCATACAGCATCTGGAACCTGCAGCGCAGACACAAGGGTGAGGACTCGGGATGGGGGTCAGAGGGGCGGGGAGGGGAAAGGGGAGCAAAGAACCCCAACCATCCCTAATGTGAGCCTAACGCACCGCCTACTCTGCAGGGCAGGACGCGCTTTTGGAGGATTTCTCTTGTTTGATCCCCCTAATGAGCTAGTGGTTGAGGCTGCTGGAGGAATTTTTATCCCCATTTTACTGACAGGGAATCTGGGCTCAGGGCTTTAAGTGGCAGTGGAGGCAGAGTCAGGAGTAGAAGGCAGGGCACTTCATGCCCATCCCCCCGACATGCTCACCAGGCTGCTTTCTCTCTCTTTTTTGACGTTCAATAAACCGCACATAAGGAAAGTGTATAACTTGGAGCCACAAGGATATATGGCACAGCACAGGGAATACAGCCAATGTTTTATCATAACTATAAATAGAGCAAGACCTTTAAAAACTGTGAGTCACTAAATTGTACACCTGTAACATATAATATTGTACAGCAACTACACTTCAATGACATCAATAAATAAAATAAGCAAAAATATTTTTTTTAATAAATTAAAAAACAGGAAACGTACTGCTCGATAAGTTTGATATATGTCTGTAACCTTGAAACTGTCACCTCAGTCCAGCTAACGGCCATATCCATCACCCCCAAACTGTCTTCATGCCCCGAATTCCCCTGTGTTGTCTGTCCATCACCCTCCACAATCCCAGGCAGAACTGCCTTCTGTCACCATGGGTTCATCTGCATTTCCCAGAATTTTATATAAATAAAAAATATGTATATAAATAGAATCATAGAGTACTCTTTTTTCCTGGCTTCTTTCTGTCAGCATAATTATTTTGAGATTCGTCCACATGGATTTTGCACGTCCACAGTTTGTTCCAGGACATCTCTGAGCAATGCTCTGTCCAGGCCTCTGTGTGGCTTTCGTGGTCCTGAGTCCCCCCCCGCTCCTCAGCTTTGGCCTCCAGCCTGGAGTGGGAGCCCCTGGACACGTCTAAAGCACCCCCATCAGTGCTCTGACGGCCACACTCCGGGCACTCGCTCACCCGTGCACACTTCGGACGAACTTCTCCAACTGCCTCATGCAGGACCGGGCTTCAAAGTGCTTCACGCGCGGCTCCCCGTAGGCACCAATGTCGACGTAGAGCTCGGCCTCGTTTCCCTTGGGGTGCACCAGGCCTGGCTGGCTGGGCAGTATAAATGGGCACAGCCAGATGGGGTAGACCTGGGGGGCCAGGGAGGGTGTGTTGGTGCTTTTCCTCCCCCAGGAGGCAGGCTCTGCAGCACTCCCCTCTCTCTGCTGCTCACATGCCACCCTCACCCCCCGTCCCCACTGAGCTCCCGGCCCGGCTCACGTGGATGTCGCTGTGGAAGGTGTGCAGGGCCTGCGGCAGGCACTTCATGGGTACCAGCATGTCCTGCACCACGTGGTGCTGCTCGTACAGCTTGCGCAGCGTCTCGCCCTGGGTCAGCTTCAGGAGGGAGATCTTGGGAGGCACCATCCAACCAAAGAGGTAGCGGAAGACGGGGTTGTTGCCAAAGGGGATGATGTCCTAAAAGACAAGGGTTCGGGATGGAGAGAAGGAACTCAGCAGGGCCCAGTGTCCCCCCGTGCCAGGGGCTGGGTCCTCCTCTGGTACTGGACAGAAATGTGACGGGTCCACTCCTATCTGGCGGGGGGGATGGGGGGGGGGATGTGGTGGTACCCAGCCGGATCTGGGTTTGATTCCCAGCTCCGGCATTTACGAGCTATGATGATGATCTTGGGCTGGGGACTTAACCTCCCTGAGCTCAGTTTCCTGATCTGCAAAATGGGGCTTATGAGAATGAATGGTAAGATACCAAATGGAAGGCACTCAGTCCATTGCCTGAAGCAAAATAACAACGAAGCTATCATTGCTGTTCTAGTTGCTGAGGTCAGTGTGGCTGGCACAGAGCAGGCACTCCATAAATGTTTGAGAACGCTGTTGAATGGCAAGAGGGATGGATACTCAGAGAGCTTAAGCAATTTTCCTAAGGTCACACCGCCAGAGACGGCTCCCACCGAGGTGAGGAAGGTCTCGCTCAGGTTCAACGATGAGCCCTTCGGTTTACAGCATCTCCTGAGAGGCCTTCTCTGACGCCCCTATTAAAATGTCACTGCTTCCCACCCCTCCATACACACAAACAGCAAATTCTTCCTCACCTGTCAAGGCCAAGCTTGACAGCTACCTTCAACCCTAGGCAGAGCTAGCCACTTTCTCTTGCTCCTGTGGCCCTGCACAGTGCGACCCCGCCTGCCTCCCCCAAGCTGGCCTCTTGGGAAACCCCCCTGAGCAGTGCTGTCTTTCCTCTTCCACTCAAACCTCCACAAGGGAAGAGCCCCCCATTCACGATCGTCCTCCCTGCCCCCAGTCTGCCGTCTTCCCGAGGGCTGCCAGCGTGCACCTGATACCCCATCCTCAGCTCCTGGGCCCTCGAAGCCAAGGACATTCCTTCATTTGTTAGACAGTTACGAGGCGCCTGCGTGCTCAGGTGCCAGGTTCTGTGCTGGGTGCTGGGGATACCCAGATCATTGAGACGTGGTGCCTGACCTCAGGTGTGAAGAGCTGCAACAGAGAGATGCAGAGGCAGCTCATAAAAGGGTCCACGTCAGACTAGGGTCAGTGGTAGCTGCCCAAAGAAGCCCCCATGCTAAGCTTCAGAGGCTGCATGACTCTTCCTCTCCCCTCCCCTCCCCTGGAATCATCTCCTCTGATCACCAGCCCACTCCCATGAGGGAGGGAGGGGCCTGTCTGCTCTCTTCTCTGTTAGATTCCGGCTCCTACACCAGTTCCTGGCTCACAACAGGAGCTCTGGAAATAGCGTGGCTTTTATTGTTCCCTTGGTTGTCTTTGGAAAAGCCACACAGGCCCATAGCAGAAATCCCCCCTCAAAGGCTAAGCCCTGACCCTATTTCCCTCACAGCCCTGACCACTCATCATTCCTCCTCCATCCCAATCTCTTTCCCCTCCACAAAGGCAACCATTCTTAGGAATTATTTGTGTACCCTTCTAGAGACATTCGATGCGCAGACACGTCCATGGGCTTAAAAAAAACACAAGTCGCAAATGGCAGCGTCTACTAGCCTCCTGCTCATCACTGTATCCTGGGTGTCAGCACACAGAGCGCTACTGCATTCTTTGTCCTGGATGCCTGACACTGTACAGACAGACCTCGTTTTAGTGCACTTCTGATCTGTGATCAGTGATCTTTGATGTCACTACTCTGACTTGCTGACGGCTCAGATAATGGTTAGCATTTTTTAGCAATAAAGTATTTTTAAATTAAGGTATGCCCTTATTTTTTTTAGACATAATGCTAGTACCCACTTAATAGACTACAGTATAGTGTAAACATAACTTTTATATGCGCTGGGACAACACTGTAAAGCAATTATAGTCTAATAAAGATATTAAATTAAAAATATATATGTATATGCACTGGGAAACCAAGAAATTCGTGTAACTCACTTTATTGCACTGCTTTATTGCAGTGGTCTGGAACCCAACATGCAATATCTCCAAGGTCACCCTTCACGGGGTGGGGCTGCAAAGTCCTAGCCCCCTGGCCTCAAGGTGGGACAGCTCTGGAGGGCCATCCAGCCCCAGAGCTCCCTGTGGGTTGGCTGAGGTCTTTGTTGTGACGGCCTCACACCTCCGCTTTTCCCTCTGCCCGGCCCTGCTTCCCCTTCCTCTCGCAGTTGAAGATCACCAGAGTTCTCCTGAACAAACTTCCTGTGCGCACATCTTGGTAGTAAAACACCCATCCTTCCAGATTCTTCCTTTAACTTCAGGCGGTACAGGCTAGTGTTTAACAGCACAAAAATATAAGACAAACCTCATTTTGAAACCTAGCTTTGTGGTTTTAAAACCCATCCAGGAGTTCTCTGCTACTCCTTTCTTCAAGAGGTGGAGCTTAATTCCCCCCTCCTTGGGTGTGGGCCAGACTTGGTGACTCCGTAGTAATAAGAGAGTATGGCGGGAGTGGCGAGGTGACTAGAGTGGGTCATGGAAGGCACTGAGGACCCCTCCTTGGTCTCTCTCTTGGATCACCTGCTCTGGGGGAAGCCAGCTGCCCTGCTGTGAGGACACTTGAGCAGCTCAGGTGGCAAGGAACGGAGGCCTCTTGTCAACAGGCACGTGAGGGACCCTTCCAGGAAGCAGATTGTCCAGCCCTACTAGAGCCTCCAGCACACCAGCCCCGCCGACACCTTGACTGCAGCCCTGAGCCAGCAACACCCACATCATCGCTCTCCAATCCCTGAGCCTCGAAACTGTGAGATAACAGAGGACAGTTGTTTTAATCCTCACAATTTGGGGTTAATTCATTATGCAGCAATAGATAACCAATACACTCTTATCTCTTACTGAGTTGTGTTACTCTGGATAACCTAAACCAGCTTCTTCACCTGTAAAGTGGAAACAGCACCAGGACCTACCCTCACAGGGCTGTTAGGAAGACGGAGAGAATGCACGTAAAGTGTCTGGCCTAAGAACTAACACGTAAGGAGCGATTCATGTTAATTGCTGCTGTTACCATTCTGATGTGCTCTCACGTACTTTGCTGGCCCCTCTTTCCTTTCCTGTCTCTTGAATATCCCTGCTCTTGACAAAACCACACCTCCCACATCCTTAACACTGCTCTTGGCAGGGATAAAGAGGGACTCGGGGGTCTTCTGCCTTGGGCAAAACTTTCCACCAAACGCTCTGGGCCTGGACACTGCTCAAAGGAGGACTAACAGGGATGGGGGAAGCCCAGAGCTCCCCAGGCCTTGATGAAGCCTCTGCTGCCCACTCCTCCACCCCTTACCACTGCCCCGTCACATCCTGCCTGAGAGACCTAGCCCACGATTAGAAGTGACCCGACACCTCCTCCTAGGAGACCACCAGGTGTAATTCCTTCATGTCTGACATCCCTATTTATCTCAGTCACGGTGGACTTGTGGGTGCCTCCCACTAGCACCCTTGATGTGCTACAGCGATGCAATGTCTTTTAACCTGACCCCACTGGCCACTGTCCCCCCGTCTTCCAAACCCCTCCCCTGTGCTCTCTCATGGTCTAAACAGCAGCAACCCCCCTCCATCCTCAAGCTCTTCTCTCGACCGTTGTGTCCTCTCCTTGCTCTTAGCTGGAACCTGGCTGGCCCCTGCAGCCCTCCGAGGTGGTATCATTTTCTCTCCATGACCCTCTGGGGTAGACGGAGGTGAGGTGGGCTCCTCATTCTCCTTCTAGGTCTCTGCCCCTCCCATCCCCTGAAAACCCTCAGCAGCTTTGCAGCCACCTGCCCATCATCTCCACCCCCATCATCTCCCTCGTTCCCAGATCACTGCCACCTTCAACACTCATCACTGATGTGATTTCATATCCACCTCTATGATCTTTCCCACGCCCCAGCCTCCTCTCTGTCCTCCAGCGATCTTACCTTCCACCTGGCCTCTGCCCTGACTCTCACGTCACACTCCAGAGCAGGGGATGACGAACTATAGCCCGTGGGAATCGGTCTGCAAGCAGATCCAGCCTGCTGGCCAAATCTGGCCCCCTGCCTGTGTTTATACATAGTATCACTGGAGCACAGCCATGCACGTTTGTCTGTGCACTGCCTGTGGCTGCTTTTGTGCTACAATGGCAGCGCTGAGCAGCTGCGACAGGACTTATGACCCGCAGAGCCTAAAGCTTTTGCTATTTGGCCCTTTAAGAAAGTTTGCTGACCTCTCGATGTTGTCCTATTGTCTGTATTCATTGCCTCTGCTGACTTGGAAAAAAAAAAAAAGCACGTCAGAGCTGTGAGTTGAGTTTATTCAGTGTCTCACTGACTACAGCCTGGGAGACCCGCTCTCAAACAGCTCTGAGAAACCGTTCCGAAGACGTAAAGGCCAGATCAGTATGTATGTGACTTTGGCGAAGCGTACATGTAATCAAGCACAGGTCTCGGTCGAAGGTTATTGCTAGTTATGAGGAACAGCCATCTTATTAATGGTTTCGGTACTTTTCTAAGTATGGGAAGATGCAAGAATTTGGGTTCATAAAATTTTCTCCTCAAAATATCTACCTATCTAAAGGCTGTCTTTATCTGCCAGTTTTCCCATAGCACAGAGTGCCTCATTACTGACCTTTGCCCTGCATTCCTTTCAGGGCATGTTGACGGTCCCGCAAGGCCTAATGACTTCATTCCTGCAGAACTGGATGGTAGGCAACATTCTTCATTTGGCATCTCCATAGTTTCAACTCCAAGCATTCGCCCTCTGACCACCACTAACTCTCCTTCCTGCTGCCCATGCCCTCCAGTGCTCTGACGTCAATTCTTCACCCCACGGGGCACCCAGGCCACCATATCAGTCCCTTCAGCCCCGCACACCCTCACTGCCCCCCCTCAGCTGGCTCAGATTTCATCCTGATCATGTCCTGGCTTTTCCAACCCTGCCCCACTTGTCATACTCATTTGCAAAACCTCAACCGTGGTTAAATCTAACTTTCTCCCTATGCTGTACCCCGTCCACAGAGCTGAACGTGTGAAAATCCACAACCATCAGGGCTGGTCTCACTGTAAACTCGTGGTCATGAATCTTTGGCAGGCCCAGTGTTGCCCAGCAATCCTACGATATTTCCCCAGTTAATTCATTCCCACTCTCCAAGGGACAATTTCCCATCTCCTCTCTCCTCAGTCCTTCCACAACCCCTCACCCCCTCATCTCGGCTAAAATCCTTGCTTCCTATTTCACTAAGAAAATAGAAGAACTCCCACACTCTCCCACCACCAAATGGTCCTCCTGTTTGTAGCAACTGTTCCATTAACACTTCCTCCCTCCTGTCCAGTGGGTGAATCTCCATGCTCTCACCTAAACGCAACCTCTCCACCTGAGCACAGGATCCATCCATCTTCAAGGTTCACCCTGAGAGCACACCCTCTCCCCTGCACTGCCAGCACATCAACATGTAGTAGCCTCTCCCTTCTTGAAAGTCACACATGGACTTCCCTGGCGGTCCAGTGGTTAACACTGCACTTCCATTGCAGGGGGCATGGGTTTGATCCCTGGTTGGGGAACTAAGATCCCACGTGCCGTGCGGCACAGCCAATAATAAATAAATAAATAAAAAATAAAACAGTCACACAAAATATTTCCTCTCGATCCTACATCCCCCTCTGGCTCCCACCCTACTTTTCTGCTTTCCCTTAAATTGAGCCTTCTCAGATTTCCATTTTCACTGTCTCCACTTCCCTGTCTCTGTTTTCTCTAGAACCCACGTCAGGCTTTCAGCCCCATGGCTCAAGGTCATCAGTGACCTTCTCACAACTAAGACCAGGGGTCGACGCTTTGTCGTCATCTCACTCAGGGGCATTCGACACAGCTGTTCACCTTCCTTCCTGACATGCTGTCCTCAGGTAGCTTCCGGGATGCCAGTCCTCCTGGGCTCCTCCTCCCCTCGGGCTGACGGCGTCTACTCCTCTCCTGGCTGGTTCCTCCTCCCTCAACTTGCAGGGCTTGGCTCTGGGACTTCTCTTCTCTAACCTCCCTCATTCATCTAGTCCCACAGTGTTAATTAACATTTCTCTGCTGATGATACCCACAGTGATATGGATTTCTTCAACCTCTGCCCCGAAGATCTGACATATGTGCCAGCTGCCCACTCAACGTCCCACCTGGATGTCTGAAAAGCATCTCACGCTGACATGTCCCAAACCAAACTTCTGATTTTCCTTCCCAGACCCCTCCCCCATGTTGTCCATAGCAGTCAATGGCACCTCGGGTCACCCAGTTGCTTGGGTCCCTAACCTTGGAATCACACCCAAGGGCAATCTGTGGGAAATCCCGTTGGTTGGTTCAACCTTCACAGCACCTCCCGGATCTGAGACCCCTTTCCTCCTCCACCGTTACCACCCCGGACGACAGAATCTTCTTTCTTCCGCTCTCCCACTCTTGCCACCTCCACCCCGTCCACTCTCCACCTAGCTGTCAAAATTATCCTTTTAAAACAAACATCAGGTCATGTCACTTTTCTGCACCAAGTCCTCCACTGGCTTCCTTACCACACAAGGTAAAATATAAAGTCCTCCCCTGACCTACAAGGACCCACATGATCTAGGCTATGGCTGCTGTTTGACAGCATTCTCCACCATGGGTCTAGCTCAAGGGCCTTCTTGCTGTTTTCAGAAACACGCAGCCTTGCTGTGACAACTTGCACCTTGCTGTGATGCAAAAGAATGGAGTTGGACCCCCACTTCACACCATATACAAAACTTAACTTAAAATGGATCAAGAACCTACATATAAGAGCTAAAACCATAAAGCTTTTAGAAGATAAGGCAGGAGGAAATCTTCATGACTTTGGATTTAGCAATGGATTCTCAGATACGACACTAAAAGCATGAGTAACAAAAGAAAAAATAGATCAACTGGACTTCATCAAAACCAAAAACTTTTGTGAATCAAAAGACATTATCGGGGGCTTCCCTGATGGCACAGTGGTTGAGAGTCCGCCTGCCGATGCAGGGGACGCGGGTTCGTGCCCCGGTCCGGGAAGAGTCCACATGCCGCGGGGCGGCGGGGCCCGTGAGCCATGGCCGCTGAGCCTGCGCGTCCAGAGCCTGTGCTCCGCAACGGGAGAGGCCACAACAGTGAGAGGCCCGCGGACCGCAAAAAAAAAAAAAAAAGACATTATCGGGACTTCCCTGGCGGTCCAGTGGTTAAGACTTCGCCTTCCAATACAGGAGGTACGGGTTCCATCCCTGGTCGGGGAGTAAGACCCCACATGCCTCACGGCCAAACAACCAAAACAGAAGCAATACTGTAACAAATTCAATAAATTTAAAAATGAGGAGCAGCTGGGCCCGTGAGCCATGGCCGCTGAGCCTGCGCGTCCGGAGCCTGTGCTCCGCAACGGGAGAGGCCACAACAGTGAGAGGCCCGCGTACCGCAAAAAAAAAAAAAAAGACATTATCGGGACTTCCCTGGCGGTCCAGTGGTTAAGACTTCGCCTTCCAATACAGGAGGTACGGGTTCCATCCCTGGTCGGGGAGTAAGACCCCACATGCCTCACGGCCAAACAACCAAAACAGAAGCAATACTGTAACAAATTCAATAAAGACTTTAAAAATGGTCCACATCAAAAAAAATCTAAAAAAAAAGAAAAGACATTATCAAGGAAGTGAAAGACAACCTACAGGTTGAGAGGAAATATTTGCAAATCATGTATTTGATAAGGGTCTAATATCCAGAATATATATAGAACTCTTACAACTCAACAACAAAGATCAATAACTCAATTAAAATTGGGCAAAGGATCTGAACAGACACTTCTCCAAGAAGTATACAAATGGCCAACAGGCACATGGAAGGATAGTGAACATCGCTAGTCATTAGGAAAATGCAAATCAAAATCACAGTGAGATTCCACTTCTTACCCACTAGGATAGCTATAGCGAAAAACCAGAAAACAACAAGTGCTGGTGAGAATGTAGAGAAACTGGAACCTACACATGCTGCTGCTGAGAAGGTAAAATGGCTCAGCCACCATGGAAAACGTTTGGCAGTTCCTCAATAGGTTATACACAGAATCATCACACGACCCAGCAGTTCCACTCCTAGGCATGTATCCTCCAAAACTGAAAACTAGTACTCAAACAAATTCTCGTACATGAATGTTTGCAGCAGCTTTGTTCACAATGCCAATAGGTGGAAACAACTCAAATGTCCACCAGCAGATGAGCGGAAAAACAAACTGTGGTCCAACCACACAATGGAGAATTATTCAGCCACAAAAAGGAATGATGTACTGATACATGCTACAGCGTGGATGAACCTTGAAAACAGGCTTAGTGAAAGAAGCCAGGCACAAAAGGCCACATGTTGTATGATTCCATTTATATAAAATGTCTAGAATAGGTAAATCCACAGAGACAGAATGAAGACTGATGGTTGCCAGAGTCTGGGGAAAGGGAATGGGGAGTAACTGCTTAATGGGTGCAGGATTTCCTTTTAGGGCGATGAAAATATTTTGAAACTAGATATAGTAGACACACAACATCATGAATGTACCAAAATACCACTGAATTGTACACGTTAAAATGTTTAATTTTATGTTTTCACTTCAATTAAAAAAAAGAAATAAAAAGCTACCCACTCAGCCCATATGAGGACCTGTGCTCTGGCTCTTCCTCTGCCTGGCATGTCCTCCCTATGTTCAGGTCCCGCTCACAAGGCATCCCCTGAGAGGCCTTCCCTGGCCACTTATTTAAAATGTCACCGCTCCCCGTCGCTCATCACACAACAGCAAATTCTTGCTCACATGTCAAGGCCACACTTGACAGCTACCTCCAGCCCTGGGCAGGACCAGCCACTTCCTCTTCTCAGGCCGCAGTCTGTCTGTTCAGCTAGGCTACAGCTCCTCAAGGACAGAACAGGTCTGTGTTCCCCAAAGCACTGGGCCCTGCGCCCCACCTTCTGGCACAGGCAGGTGTGTGGGGAGAGCCCGCTGCTTTAAGGCAAGGTGGCTGCTCCTGAAGAAGGAAGCGCTGTGCTGCTGGGTAATAGGCTGTTCTGGTCCCTAGGACAAAGCCACTCTTTTCCCCCAAGGGAGGGGAAACCATCCTGGTTGCCAGCCTGGCCAGGAGCCAGGACTACCAGGAAATCCTAGCCTCACCTGGAGCTCCCAGAAGATGCTGCGCGTGTGGCGGTGGTAGTAGTGTCTCAAGGGGATGTACTCCAGGCCCTCGCGGTTTGTCTTCAGGTATTTCTCCACGTGCTTGAAGAACCACGGCTTGTAGTAGTTGCCAATGCTATTCAGCTGCAATGACAGAGGGCACTGTGTCAGGCCACAGGCAAGCCCCAATGCCATCGGGGCGTAACAGTGATACCCGGCTTCTGTTCAGCACTCCTGGCCTCTCCAGAGCTCTTTCATGTCTATTATTGCCTTGGAGGCTCTTGAAAGCCGGGCGAGGTTACTAAGCAGAGCCGGCATTCTCTAGCAGAGAGAGCAGGAGCTCACAGAGGTTAAGTGGTGAGCCCTGGGCCCAACAGCGAACTCCTGACAGGCTGGAGAGCTCAGCCTGCTACTCCTCCTCTGTGAGAGAACTAAGGTGCCGATCTGTCGCCGTTGGCCACAGTGCAGCGCTCCATATACAGGCGTGTTCCTCCCCACCTCCCTCCCACGAGGCCAGCGTCGGCACGAACGCTGAGCATGGGTCATCCTCCCCACTGGGTCCCACAGCCGACAGCACTAACTGACCACGGTGCTCTCCCTGCTGCCCTGGACCAAGCTCCACATCCTCTGGCCACAGCGCTCCCCCCACGCAGCCACCATCAACGGAGGAAGCTCACAGTAAAGCTACCGTCTTCCCTGGCACTGGGCCCTGTGGTCTCCAAGCCTAAATCATATATTTAGCTGGTATTTTCTTCAGCCCTAAATGGTTCAGGACTCTATCTACTGTGTGCCCTGGGATGACTTAGCTTCTCTGAGCCTCAGCTTCCTCACCCATGAAAGGAACTGTGGGCCGATGCTTTTGGAGACAGGCAGGGCAGCAACCTGGAAGGGTCACGGGCTTCAGGCTGGGCGGCTGAGGCCAGACCCTGGCCGTCACCCACTAAGCTGTGTGACCTGGCGCAGGACACTCTGAGCTTGTTTCTTCACGTGTAAGATGGCAATAAAAATAAATACTTTGTGGGAGATCTTTGTGCCTATTAGAAATTACATACACACACACTGCAGACGCTCAGGCCCACGTCATACCAGCTTCTCTTGGGGTGGGAGAGGCACTCGAGTTTTATGGGGCAGGTGAGATCACACCCAGCAAAGGGACAGGAGGAAGCAGAGAGTGCAGGCCGCGTAGGAGAGGTAGAATGTTGCCAGGGGACCATCAGGGAGGGAAAGACAGGAGCAGAGGCAAGAAGTAAGCAAGCCAGGGTGGCTGGAGGATAATCACAGCACGGGCTAAGCGCCCACACTCCAGGGAGGCAGGACCAGTACCCGAGTATCCACTCTTTGTCCCCTCCATGACTTTGCATACGTTCATTATCTCTTCCATGACCCTGCACACATTCCTTCTTTATCTCCTCCATGACCCTGCACAGCAGGGCTGTCCCTGCTTCACTAACCAGGAGAAAGAATCATCAGGGTTGAAGGGACTACCCCAGGTCACAAGGCTGGCAAGAGGCAAGGCAAGGACTCAAGCACATTCCATGTTGCAAAAGGCCAAGGCGGATGGCAGAGAACCTTGAATGGTGGGTTCTGGAATGTGGGCATTATAAAAAAAGAAAAAAAAAAACTATTAATTTTTTTCCTGATTCTAAAAGCAACGTACGCTCCCTGAAAACTTCAGACACTGCAGTAATGTGTAACCTGAGAGATGCCCCTGCAGCCTCACCCTCCAGAGGGAACTACTAAAAACTGATGTGTATTCATTAGGTTTTATTTTCACACACACACAGATTTATATAAATGGGACTGCCATGTGCCTACTGTTTACTGATTTGCTGTCTCCACTTATAATGCACTAGGCTGATCCTGGCAGGTTACTTAGCCTCTCTGAGCCTCATTTTCAGTACAGGCAAAATGGTTAGAGAGACTAAAAGAGATAAGGCAGAAAGTACCAAGCATAGGGCCTGCCCACAGCAGGGGCACAGTATTCAGTTCCCGGCCCTCTCACTGCACCCAGCCCCTCGGCAGCTGCCTCCACCCTGGAGCCAGGCAACCTCTGCCCTCCACCTCTGGCAGCCAACACTTGCAGCCCATCTGGGGGTCACTGCTGTGTGCAGGCCACTCTGCTGCTAGGCCACTCTGCAGTGGAGAAACCAGGCCACAAAGTACCAGGAACTGGGCTAAAGAGCCTGCTTGTCCAAGTCAATTAGAGTGTGGATAGTGCGGGGCAGGGCAGAAGTCACCATAGGCTGGCCTCCACCTGCGAATGCAAAGGGGAGTCAGATCCAACAGGAACACAGCAACTTGATCTAACCCCAGGTGGACCTGGTCACACACCGGCAGAGGCACCAGCTGCATGATGAACCCGAGACTCGGGGGTACCTGCACTCCTGGTGTTCATGGACTCATCGGTAACTCTTTGTGCCAGGGAAGCCTGGGACATGATAAAGAACCTGGATGGCACGTCTCTCCTGGGGCACACGGCAGCCGTGGCAGCCAAGAGGCGGCAGGAGTTCCAGTTCCAGCCCAAGCACTTAGATAACAAGCCACTTCCTATCTCTGGGCTCCCCTGTAAAACGGGGGTGGCTGCCTTCTCCCAGGGTGGACAGGGACAAACGCCTGAGCAGCCTGCCGGACAGGCGTGTTTGGGAGAAATGCTGTTCCGATGAAACACGCACATGCCTCTGGCACCCATCACTCTCCCCCGGCCCCAGGCCCCGTTCTCATCCGGCATCACGGGAACACTTTGCAAAAGTCTGTGGCCCGAGGCCCGGCCCCTCTGCCACTGATACCAGGCAAGCCTCTGGGGAAAACCTCAGTCTTCCTGGGAAATAAGGGAACTGGTCAGAGTGTTCAAATGATTTAAAAGCTGTACAATCCCTTTTGCCCAACTGCAACCTTAGGTGGCACCTAATACATCAAAGAGATGACTTTCAGTACAAAGGGGGTGGTGATACCCCTTGGTCCCAGCCCTTAGCTTATCACCACTGGCAGCCTCCAGAGGAACATCTCAGACAAGGTGGAAAACCTCTGGACGAGACCTCCTTGCCAGGTGACTAGGTTCAGAGTGACACACTGCCTGGCCTTTGGCCCGACCTGAGCTCAGGCAGAGCCAGGGCCCGGGGACACCAGAACATTTGGGCTCAGTGTCTGAAGCCCCACTCCTTCTCCAGGATCCCCATCCTCCAGTGCTCACTAGTGTCCCATAAAGAATGGTGCTCGATCAAAGTCTGCAGATGATGACAAATTCTAGAAGCTGGTATGGCGGGGAACAAACATCCAACCAGGAGTCAGAGACCCAAACTTAAATCTGCCCCATGCTTGCCATGGGTCCTCAGAGGAGCCTCTTTCCCCTTCTGGGCCTCCGTTCCTTATTTGGAGAGGGAATTGTATCAGATGACTTTGGAGTCCTTTTTGATTTTAAAATGCTTTAAGTATATAGGGATAAATCAAGAGCCTTAAAAGTGCCTATCCTTTGTTGTACTAAATTCTACTTGAAGGTATTATTCAAATTATAGACAAAAGATGTCCACTGCTACATTAATTAAAATAATGAAAGCCAGGGTGCCACTTTAATTTCCAACTATGGGGCAGTGGTTTAGTAGATAGATGATAGGGCATTTGCTCACTGCAACGTTTCTGCAGTCATTAAACATGAAGGTAGTGTAACGATATGTAGAAACGCTTATCGCACTAAACCAGAAACTACAAACTTGAACTGGTGATCACAGATGAAGACAAACAAACCGAAACACTGTGCAAAGAGATGGTAACCTTGAAAGTACCTGAGAACTGCAAAATAAAACGAGCTACTATTTTTAACCCTATCAGATTGGCAAAAATGAAAGAGTGATGCTATCCAGCACTGGCAAGAACGTGGGGGAAAGGTATTCTCACACACCACTGCGTCGCTCGAAGTGGACAGAAGCACGCATTTCTGGCAGGTCACTGGTCATGTCTATCAATATTTAATATACTCAAACCCCTGGGTCAGGCATTCCTTTTTTTGGACTCAATCCTACAGAAGTGCATGTACAAGAGGCCAAGGATAGATGCAAGAGAATCTTCAATGCGATATTATTTGTAAGAGCAAAACATTTTAAGCAAAATAAATGCTCATCGGGAAGCAATGAGTTAGGCTAATTACAGGCAACAACAGAAAGCATGGGATAAAACAAGGGCATGGGCATGTACACGCGCGTACATGTGCATGCACGGGCACAGGCCTTGAAGAGTGCAGTGTTACAAGTGGTTACCCTGGGAGCATGCTTGGGTGAAGAGATGCACTTTAACTTTTTCTTTATATATTTCAACATTGTTGTACTACTTTTTTAAAAGCTTTAAAAACATCTATGCATCGAAAAGAGAGGAAATAAATCTATCAAACACATTAGCAAGAGCCGGATTGGGTCATATTTATAGGTGGGAGTCTTTTCTTTCCTTTTACTTCTGTACACTTTCCAAGCCTCTCACAATAAGCACAAATCCTTTCTCAATGGAGAAAGAACGGCTATTAAAAATTACACAGTGTACGCTGAAGGGGTGTGAATCTGGATTCTGAGGCATCAAATCAACTACTCAAATCTTGGCTTTGTCATCTTGTGGAAGTTTACATGGCCTCTTGGAGCCTTGGTTTCTTCATCTATAAAGTGGGGTTACTGTGAGGATCAAAGATTACGCCTATCAAGAGACACACATGTTACCTGGCAGATGGTAGGGGCAGAGTAAATGGATACTTTGGTCACAGCCTAAGACGGCCGACTACAGATCCTGCTGCCCAGGTGGGCTGACCCAGGTCGCAGCCTCAAAGAGCGTGGCTGCCAGGGTCAGGGTGGGGAATCAGGCTCCACCCCAGCCCATCCAGGCCCTCCTCCTCCAGGCCTACCTTGCCAGGCTCTGCCTCATCTGTCATGACCCCCGTCATGATTACAGCTTCCTCCAGGGAGTAGAGCAGCCCTTCCACGAAGTGGTTCTCCTGCCGCTGGGACTCACGGGTGAACCTGTCACAGATGGCCTCCAGGCCACACACCGGCTCAAACCGCAGCTTGACGTACTTCTTGGCGGGGATGATGCGGATTTCAGCGGCCACCAGGAAGCCCAGGGTCCCGCAGGACCAGGGCACAGCGTAGAACAGGTCTGAGTTTTCCGACTGTGAGGTGGAGTGGACACATGCTGAATGTTTGACCCCCAAACCCTGCGCTGCAGCGAGTCATCAGCGGGGTGCAGAGGACCCGGGGCCTGGGCTAAATCCCTGTCGTGGCACTATCTGTGTCAACCTGAACAAGGACCTCGCAACTGCACTTTCTGGGCCTCAGTCCTCCCCCTGCCGCTCCAGCATGACATTTGACCTTACACTGCCCTCTGTATCAGGGAGGCTCAGGGAGAGTGCATCCTCTCTCCACCACCTGGGCACAGCCCCTGGATTGCAGGCTACCCAGGAAAGGCCAGGACCAGCTCTGCCCAGAGTCCTAAAATGAGGGACCAAGGGCCAGGGGTCCCAGGCCAGGCTAGAGAGAGATGAACCCTTAATGAGGGTCAAGGTAGCCAGGGGACATTAAAATGGGCCATTACTGAAACTTACAAAGCCTTTCCCCCCTCCCCAACCACAGTCCAGGGAGAGCGTTAACATTCCTG